GGGGTGTCCCGCGGAAGGAGCCCTGGCCACACGCCCCGCGGGGAGCAGGTCTCCCTGCCCCAGCCCCGCATGGCCGCGGGCCATCGACCAGGCCGCCCCGGCCGGTGTAACGTCTCCTCGCTCCTTGTCGGTTTGTTGTTGCACATTCCAGGACATCAGTATTTTAACGGTCTCGAAGTGCCTTTCTATGGTAGTTTCTGGGTTGTTTTTATTTTCCTCCTGTTGGGCTCCATCGCTGTTAGCGTAGCGCGTAAGGACTGCACAAGTACGAGATAAGCTAACGACTGTAACACTATATTCGTCCAGTGCCTTTCTATCGTAGTTTCTGGGTTGTTTTTATTTTCCTCCTGTTGGGCTCCATCGCTGTTAGCGTAGCGCGTAAGGACTGCACAAGTACGAGATAAGCTAACGACTGTAACACTATATTCGTCCAGGGGAGAGGAAGTTTATTAAGAAAACAATAAAGTTGAAGTAAGTTCCTGTTTCAGTCCCGTGGCCGTGGTGGCAGCGGCGAAGAGCCCACGCTGGGGACAGAGGGATGCTGGAGGGATGGGTGCGAGCTCGGGGCATGGCTCTGCCCAAGCCCAGCGTGTCCCCACACTCCTGGTCAGGTAGCCTCAGGGCTGGGTGAAGCCCTGGTGGGGTCTCCAGGCCAAGCTACAGGTGCGGCCAACCACAGTGTGTACCCCCACAGCCCCTTGCCCCAACCGAGCAGTCACCCACAGAGGGAGAAGGGTAATGGCACAGCATTCCCAGGGTTCAGAGCCAGAAGTATCAGTGCATGTAGTCCAAGAGCATCCAACCCCCCCAAGAACAGCTCCCACGGCTTCCCCCAGTGCCATTTGAGCCCTGGCAGCCCTTTATGCCCCAGGGACACTCCTCCTTCCTCAGCTGCCTCCCTCCTCCTCCTCCTCCCCAGGGCAAACCCAGCGCCTCACAGTGGGCACATCTCTGCTGAGAGCAGCCAGGCCAGGTGCTGGAGGACATGGTATTTATTGGCAGCCTATAAGTTAAGGGTGAGGGACAGGGGACAGGGATAGCAGGAGTCACGTCTCGGCTTTCTGCCCCTTCTCCTTGTTGCCCTTGGCCTGGATGCGGAGCTCCTCGTCCAGCCGCTCCTTGGCTCTCACCACCTGTGGGACAGGGGGACACGGTGACACGGAGGGACTGGGCTGTCCCCTCCCCTCCCTGCTGCAACCCCAGGCTCTGCCTCTGCCAAATCCCAGGCAGGGCAGGTGCCTTGGCAGGCTGGAGCTGCTGCAGCTCCCACTCCACTCCTCTCGTGCTCACCTTGGACTGCAGGTAGAAGGAGCCTCCCACCGACTTGTCGTTCACCTTGAACAAGTGGTCGTAGTTCTGCCAAGAGCAGCTCCAGGTCAGATTCATCTCCACCCTGCCCATTCCCAAACCCCAGTGGCCTCCCACTCCCCACAGCAGTGCTGGAGATGACAGCTGTGATCCTGGGGACATGGTTAACCCTCTGTGAGTCCCCATGTTCCCATTGGGCACCTCCAAGGATCCCACAGGGAATCCTCAAACTGGGATTAACTGGGCCCAGAACAACACCCAACTCCCTCCGGGGACCAGCCGTCACCCCCACGCCCAGCACCATCCCTCCCTGGCTCTGAAGGCTCTACCTTCTGGATCTCCTCGGGGTTGAGGCTGGAGACATTGAGGATCTGCTGAGCTTCCTGGAGGCTGATGCCGATGATCCTGGAGGCGGCAGCAGACTGTGGCCTCTCGGAACGCCCTCGCGCATCGGCCGCCGCTCGGCTCGCTGTGGGGACACCGAGGGGCCCCAGACTTCAGGGGCTCAGCCAGCAAAGCCTGGGGACTCTGAGGTGCTCAGGCCACAGGGTCACCCCTCTGCCCCCTCACACTGCCCCCGAGGTCACCAGGATGTGGTCCTGGGTAGGTGACATGGATCAGAGGGGCAGTTTGCTGCAGACAGGGCAGGGCTGGGGCTGCCATGTCCCATGGATTATCCCACTCTGGGGTGCTGGGAGCTCTGGGATCTCTGGGATCCTGGCAGTGTGCTGGGGCTGGGCTAGAGCCTGGGAATGCTGCTGGGAGCCTGGCTCAGGGTGAAATGCCATCGGGCCACTGCAGGACTGTCACCCTGGGAAAACCTGGCGGGTGTTCCCTGTGGGCACAGCCTGGGGATGGGGAGCACTGGGGTGCCAGGAGAAGGGTGGGGATGTGGAGTGGTGCCTGGGCTGGGCAGGGCAGGACAGTGTGGGCACAGGGAGCAGCATCCCAACACCATGGCAGGGCAGTGTGGGCACAGGGAGCACCAACCCAACACAAGGGCAGGACAGTGTGGGCACAGGGAGCACATGGAGCAGCATCCCCAGGGCAGGACAGTGTGGGCACAGGGAGCCCTAACCCAACACAAGGGCAGGACAGTGTGGGCACAGGGAGCCCTAACCCAACACAAGGGCAGGACAGTGTGGGCACAGGGAGCCCTAACCCAACACAAGGGCAGGACAGTGTGGGCACAGGGAGCCCTAACCCAACACAAGGGCAGGACAGTGTGGGCACAGGGAGCACCAACCCAACACAAGGGCAGGACAGTGTGGGCACAGGGAGCACACGGAGCGGCATCCCAGCTCCTACCTGCGAACTCCTGGCGCAGCGCCCGCATGAAGGCACGTCCCACCACCTGGGCCCCCACCAGGATGATCTGTGCCAGGTACTTGGCCTGTGGGGACACCCTGCTGTCACAGCCACCACGGGCCCTGTCCCCAGCAGAGTCCTTTGCCCTGTCACCTCCCCTCAGGCCCTGCACGGCCCTGGCCCTGGCACTGCTCCCCATCCCCTGGGG